CTCATTCTAATCCTGAGTCAGGAAATACTGCTTGACCTCGCGCGTAATTCCTCATCAGACTACAGAGCAGCCATTACGCTCGCCTAACTCGAGGCTTCCTATCTTAACGAGTCGGAATCTGCTTTTCATTTTCTTTGCTTCCTCGCATTTTCTATTAACCCCCCTAAGAAGTTCTACTTCTCACAGTCCACCTCGGTCCTCGTTTTCTTCGGTCTCGTGCCTCTTTCTCTTTCGCGCGAAGTCATCGTGAATCTAATCAGTTAAGCTTTCAGAGACTTCATTAGAGGCTCCATAATGCATCCTTCAATTCATCAAAACGTCTCTAGCCTAGAAATTGCTTTAACGATCGTTACAATAGCTGGGAAGTAATGCTCTTGACTTTCGCAACAGTTATTGAATATAACATACAAGATACGTGGCTGTTTTTAACAGTTCGTTTAATGTTTTGATGTGCAGAGTCCAAAATTGCAACGAAATTAGGTTCACAAAATTTGAAATTTTGTGTGACAACTTCTAGGGATGCTATTAATATTTTGGAAAAAATATTATTGAAATATTTAAGAGATATTGACATAAGGAATTTTAATTAAAATGTTTGACAACTCCAGGAACAAAGATTTAACAGCTTCCTAGCTACCGAAGTAATCCTCCTATGACATTAGCAGTTTGTTTTTGAATATTCATTTGCGATCACGTTAGAGGCGAAGACGTCTTCTCGAGGCCGTGAAATTGAACTTTATCGATTTGGCGCGAACGCAATCGAAACTTAAAGTGATTCTGTTCGCAGGAGGAGCTGATGATGAGGCTCGACAAGAAACTGGTAGTCCTCAGAGCCGAGCAGGAGGCCGTGCGAGAAGAGGGCGAGGTGAATGAGGCGTTGGGTGCACGAGTCGCCTCGCGGATTTCCGCGGTCGCCAGGGCAGCGGAAGCTTCCAAATATCGACTTCACGTGGAGGAAGTCGGCAAGATCACGAGTCTTCTTCTTGGTCTCAGCGGCAGATTGGCTCGAGCGGAGAACGCCCTTTACGGAATGCCAGCCGACCATGCGGAAAGAGTGAGTATTTGTTTCGTTTTCGTACACTGATAACACCAGTTATGGAGAGTAGGATCATTACAGTAAAAGAATCAGGTGACTCTTAATTAATCCTGAATCCTTTGGAAAGTAAATGTTGCAATTGTAAAAATGGTAGTAGCTATTTATTTTGAACATCAAATGCTTGTAAACATTTATTTCGTCCTCTGCTTTAGATTTATCTTAGCAAGTATCTTCAAGGTATACTTCCCTATGTTTCATTATCACTTGGATCTTTTCTTGCAATGGTCATCTTCAAGACTCTTGAGCACGGTACGAAATGGCCTTCCTGATCGTTCAACGCAAACCATCGCACGCAATTCCACGATTTTTCATTGGATTGAGGAATTTTAAACGAACAGAGAATGATAATCGTGTGCTCGCGCGATTAACTGAAAATTTACCCGGCGTCCTCGGGATCCACGACGTCCCCGTAATCGACGCTGACATAAAATTATTTGTGGTTGTCGAACAGGAAGGCCGAGAAGTACGGATATAATTATTTATCCGTCCAACGGAAAGTCGCGTTGATTTATGGAAGAATTCTTGCGCAATATGGTTTCACGGGTAAAGAGTATAATCATTGTGGAAACCTTGAAAGGAACGGGTCATCGTACGCTCGCAATACGAATCAATTCATGATAATAAGAGTCGTTTAATTCGAGCTATTACGTTAGTAGTCTATTAGGAGGAGGAAAGGTAGCTATCGAGAGGCCTAAATTTCAATTATATAATTAAAACAATAACTGTGAACGGACATATTTTTTTCAGACAAGTTTTCGTCTTTGAAACTTAATTTCTTCGGCCTTCAGAGCAATGATACGAGTTCAATTACGTGTGTAATTCATGGAACAACTGGTATTTTGATACAGCAGAGTGTTGGCATAAAATCCAACTTCAGGAAAATACTTGTATCTAAAAAACAGACAAAAAGTAGTAACTAAATAACATAGGCAATAAAACATAGCAAGTGATGAGCCTCGATCCTCAACAACAGAAACGAATTCCTCAAAATAATCACGATATTAATGAAATATAACATGTTAAATAAATTACAATTAAATTGCAATCATTGACGTGGTCACTAATAGTCTCGTAGTTGATGTGACCTTGAATAAAGTAATTAAAACAAAAAAAAGTGATAAACCTGATATATATATATATATAAAATAAAAATAATATAACTTTCTCGTAAATTTTCCTGAACAATTTCCTATGAATCGCGCTTTCGTTTCGAACCTCTCTCGAGATACAGTTCCTATGGTGTTCGCAGAAAATCCTGGAGAGCAAGAGGGACAAGCTGATGGACCAGTTGGAGGAGGCGAAGATCCTGAAGGGCAACATCGACAAGCGAAGCGTGAACGTCTCCACGATCCTGTCGAAGTACCTGAACGAGGAGGAGTTCGCCGACTATCAGCACTTCATCAACATGAAGGCGAAGCTGATCGTTGACGGCCGTGAGATTCAGGACAAGGTGAAACTCGGGGAGGAGCAGCTAGCCGCGCTGAGAGAAGCGATCGACTAGTCGTATTAAATGAACCGATCGCGTAACCGATCGCACGAGAAACGCGTGGCCGCGTTCTTATACGCGCTCGAGCGCATACCACTTAAGAATCCACGTAATTTTAAACCTCCCGACCATGGATGAACGATAAGGAATGAAGCGGGCGTCGCTCCACTTGGTTTCCCAGCGACTCGTCGAAGCTTTTGTGAAACGTACGCGTGATCCTCGAATCGGTGAACGGAAAGTGATAATCCCTAATCGGTAGGTAAAATCGGTAGCTTGATGAAATTGTTTTGTACATATATATCGTATTCTTCGAGTCCTAGACGGACGAAGCGTCGCGGAGCCTTCTCGTCTGTCGAAAAGAAATTGTGTCTTGATTCTTGTATCGGTACACGCTTCGTCGTGGTTTCTTTTGAAAGTGAGAAGTCACCGTTCGCGCGAGAATCGAAGCTCCGAGCTCCATCTCGAGACAGAGTGGCTGAAGCTGACGTCAAATACTTTGGTCGTTCAAGGTCGTCGAAGTTAATTCGACAGATGTGCCACAGGCAATCGAATGAATTTGAAATTTATTTTTGTTTCGTATTATTTCAAAGTAGTATTTAGATGCAATACATTATTACCTACAAATGAAAATTCATTAGGTAGTACGTTTTAATATTTACGTGTCTTTATTTATTCATTTCTAAGGTAACAACAATTTACACGTTGGTGAATATAGTTTTTGATGAATGTGCCCAAACAGAGGCCTCGAGCAGTCAAAATATTTGGCTCCGACTTCAGTCGTTAAATTTATACCGTGTTCTAGATGGACATAATTCATACATAGAGAAAAATATCGAATAAAGTTATAAAATTAAATATTTCATTATACTTATCGTTAAACGATTAAACGCTCATCATGATACGTACTCGATGGAATAAACATTGAGTATAAATTTGTTACGTATGTCGTACGACATGATATACGGTCAAAGGAACTCGCGCGTACAGGTGACCTCGACCGTTCGTTAAGGTACCCACCCACAGTCAATGTAATTATAAAACAATTAAACATCCCAATCACCCAAGTAGAATTACTTGTCAACCATTCGCATCGTTCTAAGTCGATCGAACACGAAGCTAAAAATATTGTTATTATTGCTGATATAATATCACGTCAATGATACTATATCGGTACAAAATAACGTAAAATTGACCGTGCGTGGGTACCTTCAATCGCGTTCTCCGTGCGAAATCGCGCGATTCGTCGTATCCGTTCAACTATGCGTCGCATGCGGGCGTTGAAATCTCCGATCGCTGTATGGAAATATATTTCGGCGGCACTGCGTTACACTGGACGAATCAAAATTTTAATATATACTTCAGTGAGCCAGTTGTCTTTCTGATTCGTTACGACGAGGTTTTTCAGTGATTAAACCGCGGAACGACATTTGCCGAGGATGGTAACACGATGTTCGTCCACTTCGCTGCCCTAAGCAGACACGGTTGACCGCGGGCGTGTACAGCATACGGATACGTTTTCCATTTTACCTGGTTAACATTAATGATTCGTTCGCGATGGCGCGTGTCGCGGGATACTTGACCTAGAATTACTTCTGGTGCCTTCTTATATACGATATGTGATATAAGGGTAAGGAGTCACGTGGTCGTGAGATATATCTGGAACGATACAGGCAACCGAGCGACATAGTAACATGTATATAACGAAAAAGATGGAGAGAAAGGTAGCTTTAAGCGGTGATACATTGTAGGAAACACACACACACACACACACACACACACACACACACACACACACACA